TAAGACAGATGCATTCCTGCTAATATTCTAATAGGAGGTACAACTAGTAAATATCACATTGTTAAAAAAATATGTAATTTCCAACTTCTAGGGAAAAGAATAATGGGGCTCTTTGAGAAAGAATACGGGAAAAGTTCTATGTCAGATGAGGTCATCTGTAAATTGTAAGTTTGGTAGCATGGGGTAATTTTTGTGTGTTTTTGACTGGCATAACATTTATTTACTGGCCAATGGAAGAGAGATGGCAGGGAGTGGGAAATGAGTGAAAACGAATCTGAGGTAAAGCCTTAAGGGACAAGAATTTGGGATGAAAATCTCAGAAGACTGAGAGAATCAGGTTTCAATGGGAATTGAAAGAAAAAATCTTCAGCGTTAAGGTCTCCAGTGCATAAACACTGAGGTAAAAATTATTGCTAAAATCTGGGAGTAAGAGACTTCTGCTTCCAGCTAAGATGGCCTAATAGAGACTAGATTTATACTCCTATCTAAAACAAACAAACAAAAATAAACAAAATATAATGTGAGCAACAGTTTTCAGTGAAATGAACATGAGGTAATGAAGGATACTGATCTCTGAGAAATGTGAAATAAACAAGGATGAGTCCTACAATTACCTCAACTTACTATCTCGAGGAAGTCTCCAGGTGAAAGCACAAGGAGGCAGGAGAAAGGCAGAGGGTGTTTGGATCCCTTAGGAGACAGAACTGAGAATTCAGGGAGAGAAAAATGTAGCTGGATTTCACAGAATAAATTATCAAAGAGAATAAACTATCATAGAGAACTCTGGAGGTCTTCAGAGGGTCCTCATTGAGCTTTTAGCAATGTACAGCATGTGTGTGAGGAAACTACTTGAGTCAAGACAAAACTATCCTAAGGAATTAGAGGGAACAATACTATGGTGCATATACAGAGCCAGGAATATTGCCTATTGCCACCAGCCAGACTAGAAAATCTCATAATTTGCCTGTAGACTATTCATAATTGTCTTTTCTAAGTTGTAGAGTATAAAAAGCACCGAAATAAATAATTCTGTCCTTCCTAACAGATCTTAAAAGCAAGACCCAAAAAGATCAAACTGTTATCAAGTAACTTAATGAATCTGAGAACAAAGCACAAGAATACATACAAAAATATTCAGCGGCTTCCCTAGTGGTGCAGTGGTTGAGAGCCCGCCTGCCAATGCAGGGGACACAGGTTCGTGCCCCGGTCGAGGAAGATCCCACATGCTGTGGAGCAGCTATACCCGTGAGCCATGGCTGCTGAGCTTGCATATCCAGAGCCTGTGCTCTGCAACGGGAGAGGCCACAACAGTGAGAGGCCCATGTACTACAATATATATATATATATTCAGCACTTGAAAATATATAATTCAAAATATGTGACATCTAATTTTAAAATGTCAAGTATGCGAAGAATCAAGAAAGTAAAACTCACAATTAGCTGAATAATAAGTCACTCAAAACTGATCCATAACTGGCACAAATATTAGGATTAGCAGAAAAGGAAGTAAACAGGTATTGTGACAGTATTTTATATCTTCAAATATTTAAGTAGAGTCATGGAAGATATCCCAAATGCCCATTATAGGTGCTGGAGTAAACAAACTGTATTATATACATACACTGGCATACTACTAAAATCTACACAGTGAATTTTCTAATTAAAATAAATTTAACACTTAGCCTAGAGTGCAGGGAGCAAAACTGGTGCCCACATGCAAAAGCAAGTTTGTTTGTAATTGTAGAGTTTTAAAACAACAGTCATAGAGTTATCAATATTTAATTTAGTTATTTCAAGCATGTGTGAATGAACACACACAGACACACACACACAGAGAACATTTTAGTAACTCTGGATCCTTATTGTCTCAAGATAAGACAATGCCCAAAGTGTTTTGTTTTTTATTTTATTTTTAAATTGTTTTTAATCTAATTTTTATTTTATATTGGAGTATAGTTGATTTACAATGTTCTGTTAGATTCAGGTGTACAGCAAAGTGATGCAATTATACATATACATATATCCATTCTTTTTCAGCTTCTTTTTCCATATAGTTTATTACAGAATACTGAGTAGAGTTTCCCATGGACATTAAGTCCTTGCTGATTATCTATTTTATATATAGCAATATGTATATGTTAATCCCAAACTCCTAATTTATCTCTTCCTCTCACGTTTTCCCTTTGGTAACCATAAGTTTGTTTTCAAAGTCTGTGAGTCAGTTTGTGTTTTGGAAAAAAGTTCATTTTATCATTTTTTTTAGATTCCACATATAACTGATATCATATGATATTTGTCTTTGTCTGATTTCCTTAACTTAGTATGATAATCTCTAGGTCCATCCATGTTGCTGCAAATGGCATTATTTCATTCTTTTGCATGACTGCATAATATTCCATTGTTGTATGTACCACTGCATAATATTCCATTGTATGTATGTACCATCTCTTCTTTATCCATTCCTCTGTTGATGGACATTTAGGTTGCATCCACGCCTTGGTTGTTGTAAACAGTGCTGCAGTGAATTTTGAGGTGCATGTATCTTTTCAAATTATGTTTTTTTTCCAGATATATGTCCAGGAGTGGGATTGCTGGATCATATGGTAGTTCTATTTTTAGTTTTTTAAGGAACCCCCATACTGTTCTCCATAGTGGTTGTACCAATTTACATTCCCCAAAAGTATTTTCAGTAAGTAAATTGATAAACATGAAGGCCTAATATATGCATTTTTTACTAGCCCATTTTTCATCAAATATATCAAATATATGTAAAATAAATTGGCCACATTGAGTTTATTTCTAGGATAATTAATTGTACATGTGTTTACAAAAAGCAATGACTTCTTGTGCCTTCCCAGACTCCTCTATTTTCAGTATTAAAATATCCTAGTTATGCATATTAGGTTTCATGTTTGTCTTTTCATTTTGAATGTGAGGCCATGGTGGGTAGGGGACTATTGTTTGTTTTGGCTAAACCCTGGCACCTATAACAGTGTCTGGTATGGAGTAGGTCATCCATATATATTTGCTAAATGAATGAATAAATGAGTTGCACAAAAGATAAAAGGAAAATCTGCAGATAATTAACCTTGGCTATTTTTCTAGTGTAAAATATTTATATTATAAATAATAACACCACTTATTGTTTGTTTATCATGTGTCAGGAAATGTTCTATGCAGTTTCCACATTTTCACCTACTTAATGCTCAAAACTGTGTATGTATGTACTATTAATGAAAGGATTTTACAGATAGAGGAAGCAAAGCATAGAAAAGTTCTATACCTCGCCCAAGAACATATAGTTAAAATGCTAAGTCCAACATTCTGAGTCTGCAGCCTGTGCTTTTATCTCTGCATTGCCCCTCAAAACAGAGCCACTTGAAATAGAAGAGGGTTAGATTTGATTCTGGTGAGAAATGTTTCTTTCCTAAAAATAGAAAATGTAGGAAGTTCTTTCAGTAGAACTTTTAGGAAGTTTCCTTCCTAAAAGCTTCAAAGGGACACACAGCTCCTAGGACACAGCCCAGAGTCATGAGGTGGGACCATGGATCACAGTGGTTCATCTTCTCCCAGTACTGTAGATTGAATGTCTGTGCCAAATTCACATGTTCAAAACCTAATGCCCAAGGTGATGGTATTAGGAGGTGGGACCTTTTGGTGTTGAATTGATCATGAGGACAGAACCCTTATAACAGAGATTCCCAGAGAGATACCTTGTCCTTTCTGCCATGTGAGGACAATGGTGAGAGGTTGGCAGTCTGCAACTTATAAAAGGAACTTCACCACAACTCAACCATGCTGGCACCCTGATCTTAGACTCTCAACCTCTGGAACTGTGAGGAATACATTTCTCTTGTTTATAAGTCATATAGTCTGTGGTATTTTGTTAGAGCAGCCTGAATGAATGAAGATACCAAAGAATGAGTTGCTCTTGCAGATCACACTTCATTATTATGTGAGTTTAATTGTATATACACTTTCTCACTCTTTTCTTATTCTGTAAGCCCCTTTCCCTTCCTACCCTGACGTGAGTCAAGTTCTGGTGAAGGATACACTCCCTGATGTGGTCTAAGTTTCAGTAATCTGATAATTTCTTTGGAACAACAACAACAAAAAATGCATATATATGCATGTGTCATGGGTATTTTGCAATGTGTACACGCCCTGCTGAAAAGGAAGGTGGAACATGCTTTCAGTTTCATACCACACACCAAGGCTAAGAGAGAAGAGCTATGGCCGGTGAGTTTCTTTCTTGAAAGAATAGTTTTGGAAGGGGCTGGTTTTTGCAGAAACCATAATTAAGTTCTGTGAATGTTTAGGCAAGCAGAACAGAGGGAGTGCAAAGAGAGGGAGGGGTGGGGGCAAAGGGAAGGAGAGAAGGGGCCCAGAAGCCCCACAGTCTTTAAAAAGGGAAGACAAGGTCCAGAAAGGAACCAGGCTTTACTGGCTGGTATCCTGCTGTCATTTTGCAATCTTAACTGAATTCTTAAATGTCATAGTCTGACAGAGGATGCAGAATTGGCATAGAATGGGTACCAGCAGTTGTTGTCCCCAAAAGAAATGGGCAATCACTATTTCATTATTTTATTATGCACAGTTGAATAAACATGAGGCATGTTGTGATGACCCCTAGTTTTCAGGTACTAAGTTGGAGGTAGTAAATCTCAGTCTTCAGGCCACTCAGTGAGCATATATGGGTAATACTGAGGGAAGAATAAGAGATGTGGGTGTCCTCAGGATTACCACACTGTGTGGGGAGGGACATTTTATTGTTTAAATCTAAAGGAGGCTATTCTCCGTTGCTGAGATGAAAGGAAAATGAGGCTGTTTCTGTGACTTGAGGCATCCTTGTGTTTCCAACAGACAAAGTCCTGAAGGAGAAGAGAAAGCTGTTTGTCCATTCAGTGGGCATGGGTACAATAAATGGCTTGCTGGATGAACTATTAGAGAAAAGAGTGCTGAACCAGGAGGAGATGGAGAAAGTAAGAGATGAAAATGCTACAGTTATGGATAAGGCCCGTGCTTTGATAGACTCTGTTATTCGGAAAGGGCCCCAGGCATGCCAAATTTGCATCAGTCATATTAGTGAAGACGACTCCCTCCTTGCAGGAACACTAGGGCTCTCCTCAGGTAAGGGTCAATGACTCAGACTGAAGTTCATATAGGCCATGTTTCTTTATGCCTAACATCTGATTTCTTCATTGGTCATGTTAGTTTGCAAACAACTTCCCTACCTCTGGCTTCAGGCCCCATTTCTATATCAGTGGTCATTCTGCATCCCCTCTGTCTCTTTTCTTCTTTGTTCCTGTTCTTTTGGTTTTACAGGCCTTCTTTTTTTTTTGCGGTACGCGTGTAAATTGTAAGTTTGGTAGCATGGGGTAATTTTTGTGTGTTTTTGACTGGCATAACATTTATTTACTGGCCAATGGAAGAGAGATGGCAGGGAGTGGGAAATGAGTGAAAACGAATCTGAGGTAAAGCCTTAAGGGACAAGAATTTGGGATGAAAATCTCAGAAGACTGAGAGAATCAGGTTTCAATGGGAATTGAAAGAAAAAATCTTCAGCGTTAAGGTCTCCAGTGCATAAACACTGAGGTAAAAATTATTGCTAAAATCTGGGAGTAAGAGACTTCTGCTTCCAGCTAAGATGGCCTAATAGAGACTAGATTTATACTCCTATCTAAAACAAACAAACAAAAATAAACAAAATATAATGTGAGCAACAGTTTTCAGTGAAATGAACATGAGGTAATGAAGGATACTGATCTCTGAGAAATGTGAAATAAACAAGGATGAGTCCTACAATTACCTCAACTTACTATCTCGAGGAAGTCTCCAGGTGAAAGCACAAGGAGGCAGGAGAAAGGCAGAGGGTGTTTGGATCCCTTAGGAGACAGAACTGAGAATTCAGGGAGAGAAAAATGTAGCTGGATTTCACAGAATAAATTATCAAAGAGAATAAACTATCATAGAGAACTCTGGAGGTCTTCAGAGGGTCCTCATTGAGCTTTTAGCAATGTACAGCATGTGTGTGAGGAAACTACTTGAGTCAAGACAAAACTATCCTAAGGAATTAGAGGGAACAATACTATGGTGCATATACAGAGCCAGGAATATTGCCTATTGCCACCAGCCAGACTAGAAAATCTCATAATTTGCCTGTAGACTATTCATAATTGTCTTTTCTAAGTTGTAGAGTATAAAAAGCACCGAAATAAATAATTCTGTCCTTCCTAACAGATCTTAAAAGCAAGACCCAAAAAGATCAAACTGTTATCAAGTAACTTAATGAATCTGAGAACAAAGCACAAGAATACATACAAAAATATTCAGCGGCTTCCCTAGTGGTGCAGTGGTTGAGAGCCCGCCTGCCAATGCAGGGGACACAGGTTCGTGCCCCGGTCGAGGAAGATCCCACATGCTGTGGAGCAGCTATACCCGTGAGCCATGGCTGCTGAGCTTGCATATCCAGAGCCTGTGCTCTGCAACGGGAGAGGCCACAACAGTGAGAGGCCCATGTACTACAATATATATATATATATTCAGCACTTGAAAATATATAATTCAAAATATGTGACATCTAATTTTAAAATGTCAAGTATGCGAAGAATCAAGAAAGTAAAACTCACAATTAGCTGAATAATAAGTCACTCAAAACTGATCCATAACTGGCACAAATATTAGGATTAGCAGAAAAGGAAGTAAACAGGTATTGTGACAGTATTTTATATCTTCAAATATTTAAGTAGAGTCATGGAAGATATCCCAAATGCCCATTATAGGTGCTGGAGTAAACAAACTGTATTATATACATACACTGGCATACTACTAAAATCTACACAGTGAATTTTCTAATTAAAATAAATTTAACACTTAGCCTAGAGTGCAGGGAGCAAAACTGGTGCCCACATGCAAAAGCAAGTTTGTTTGTAATTGTAGAGTTTTAAAACAACAGTCATAGAGTTATCAATATTTAATTTAGTTATTTCAAGCATGTGTGAATGAACACACACAGACACACACACACAGAGAACATTTTAGTAACTCTGGATCCTTATTGTCTCAAGATAAGACAATGCCCAAAGTGTTTTGTTTTTTATTTTATTTTTAAATTGTTTTTAATCTAATTTTTATTTTATATTGGAGTATAGTTGATTTACAATGTTCTGTTAGATTCAGGTGTACAGCAAAGTGATGCAATTATACATATACATATATCCATTCTTTTTCAGCTTCTTTTTCCATATAGTTTATTACAGAATACTGAGTAGAGTTTCCCATGGACATTAAGTCCTTGCTGATTATCTATTTTATATATAGCAATATGTATATGTTAATCCCAAACTCCTAATTTATCTCTTCCTCTCACGTTTTCCCTTTGGTAACCATAAGTTTGTTTTCAAAGTCTGTGAGTCAGTTTGTGTTTTGGAAAAAAGTTCATTTTATCATTTTTTTTAGATTCCACATATAACTGATATCATATGATATTTGTCTTTGTCTGATTTCCTTAACTTAGTATGATAATCTCTAGGTCCATCCATGTTGCTGCAAATGGCATTATTTCATTCTTTTGCATGACTGCATAATATTCCATTGTATGTATGTACCATCTCTTCTTTATCCATTCCTCTGTTGATGGACATTTAGGTTGCATCCACGCCTTGGTTGTTGTAAACAGTGCTGCAGTGAATTTTGAGGTGCATGTATCTTTTCAAATTATGTTTTTTTTCCAGATATATGTCCAGGAGTGGGATTGCTGGATCATATGGTAGTTCTATTTTTAGTTTTTTAAGGAACCCCCATACTGTTCTCCATAGTGGTTGTACCAATTTACATTCCCCAAAAGTATTTTCAGTAAGTAAATTGATAAACATGAAGGCCTAATATATGCATTTTTTACTAGCCCATTTTTCATCAAATATATCAAATATATGTAAAATAAATTGGCCACATTGAGTTTATTTCTAGGATAATTAATTGTACATGTGTTTACAAAAAGCAATGACTTCTTGTGCCTTCCCAGACTCCTCTATTTTCAGTATTAAAATATCCTAGTTATGCATATTAGGTTTCATGTTTGTCTTTTCATTTTGAATGTGAGGCCATGGTGGGTAGGGGACTATTGTTTGTTTTGGCTAAACCCTGGCACCTATAACAGTGTCTGGTATGGAGTAGGTCATCCATATATATTTGCTAAATGAATGAATAAATGAGTTGCACAAAAGATAAAAGGAAAATCTGCAGATAATTAACCTTGGCTATTTTTCTAGTGTAAAATATTTATATTATAAATAATAACACCACTTATTGTTTGTTTATCATGTGTCAGGAAATGTTCTATGCAGTTTCCACATTTTCACCTACTTAATGCTCAAAACTGTGTATGTATGTACTATTAATGAAAGGATTTTACAGATAGAGGAAGCAAAGCATAGAAAAGTTCTATACCTCGCCCAAGAACATATAGTTAAAATGCTAAGTCCAACATTCTGAGTCTGCAGCCTGTGCTTTTATCTCTGCATTGCCCCTCAAAACAGAGCCACTTGAAATAGAAGAGGGTTAGATTTGATTCTGGTGAGAAATGTTTCTTTCCTAAAAATAGAAAATGTAGGAAGTTCTTTCAGTAGAACTTTCAGGAAGTTTCCTTCCTAAAAGCTTCAAAGGGACACACAGCTCCTAGGACACAGCCCAGAGTCATGAGGTGGGACCATGGATCACAGTGGTTCATCTTCTCCCAGTACTGTAGATTGAATGTCTGTGCCAAATTCACATGTTCAAAACCTAATGCCCAAGGTGATGGTATTAGGAGGTGGGACCTTTTGGTGTTGAATTGATCATGAGGACAGAACCCTTATAACAGAGATTCCCAGAGAGATACCTTGTCCTTTCTGCCATGTGAGGACAATGGTGAGAGGTTGGCAGTCTGCAACTTATAAAAGGAACTTCACCACAACTCAACCATGCTGGCACCCTGATCTTAGACTCTCAACCTCTGGAACTGTGAGGAATACATTTCTCTTGTTTATAAGTCATATAGTCTGTGGTATTTTGTTAGAGCAGCCTGAATGAATGAAGATACCAAAGAATGAGTTGCTCTTGCAGATCACACTTCATTATTATGTGAGTTTAATTGTATATACACTTTCTCACTCTTTTCTTATTCTGTAAGCCCCTTTCCCTTCCTACCCTGACGTGAGTCAAGTTCTGGTGAAGGATACACTCCCTGATGTGGTCTAAGTTTCAGTAATCTGATAATTTCTTTGGAACAACAACAACAAAAAATGCATATATATGCATGTGTCATGGGTATTTTGCAATGTGTACACGCCCTGCTGAAAAGGAAGGTGGAACATGCTTTCAGTTTCATACCACACACCAAGGCTAAGAGAGAAGAGCTATGGCCGGTGAGTTTCTTTCTTGAAAGAATAGTTTTGGAAGGGGCTGGTTTTTGCAGAAACCATAATTAAGTTCTGTGAATGTTTAGGCAAGCAGAACAGAGGGAGTGCAAAGAGAGGGAGGGGTGGGGGCAAAGGGAAGGAGAGAAGGGGCCCAGAAGCCCCACAGTCTTTAAAAAGGGAAGACAAGGTCCAGAAAGGAACCAGGCTTTACTGGCTGGTATCCTGCTGTCATTTTGCAATCTTAACTGAATTCTTAAATGTCATAGTCTGACAGAGGATGCAGAATTGGCATAGAATGGGTACCAGCAGTTGTTGTCCCCAAAAGAAATGGGCAATCACTATTTCATTATTTTATTATGCACAGTTGAATAAACATGAGGCATGTTGTGATGACCCCTAGTTTTCAGGTACTAAGTTGGAGGTAGTAAATCTCAGTCTTCAGGCCACTCAGTGAGCATATATGGGTAATACTGAGGGAAGAATAAGAGATGTGGGTGTCCTCAGGATTACCACACTGTGTGGGGAGGGACATTTTATTGTTTAAATCTAAAGGAGGCTATTCTCCGTTGCTGAGATGAAAGGAAAATGAGGCTGTTTCTGTGACTTGAGGCATCCTTGTGTTTCCAACAGACAAAGTCCTGAAGGAGAAGAGAAAGCTGTTTGTCCATTCAGTGGGCATGGGTACAATAAATGGCTTGCTGGATGAACTATTAGAGAAAAGAGTGCTGAACCAGGAGGAGATGGAG